TACTAAAAGTTTTATTAAATGATAATTTTATAAATAGTATAAAGTATATAATTTTATAATAAAATACTCTTGGTAGCTTGTTTTATTTAGGAAATACTATCCTAAATCTTGTTATTACAGGATTTTAATTTATGCGACTACTTAAATTAAATAATTTTTTTAATAACTTGTTTGTTGTAATAAATTTTCGATTTCCAATAACCATTTCAACTAAACTAAAATGTTTTAGACTACTATTGGAAGTTTTATACATTTATTTTACTTTAGCTTTATCGATTAGATATATTCTGGATATAAATTAATTTAATTTTTAATAATTAGATTGATTATAAATAGAATTATGATATATCTTTATATTAATATCAATATCAATACTGTACTAATTTTATCAAATATTAAAATTACGTTGAATAATTACTATATTTTGTAATGAAATTGTTAATAATAATTTAAATATAATTTAAATAAATGATTGCAAATGTTTTCCTGGATGAGACATTAAGGAAAATTCATAAAATAAATAATTTATTTACTATTATATTTATCTAAAATATTACTGTACATACTGTACTCCATTGTCGTAAGTATGTTGGTAACTATTAATTGATAATTATATATATATTTAAGTTTTTGAAATAAATTGTTCTTATTGTAAATGTACACTAATTGAATCGAAAGCTATCATATATAATACATTAATATACATAAATATATTATAACTTTAATAATATAATTAGAGTCAAATTCAGATATAGATTAATTTTATACCTGCTTAAATATTTGCTATTTACATCATATAAATTTAGTATAATTTTGTTTGTATATAAACGTTTTAATCAAAAATTATAGTTATTTTTATTAATCATTAGATATGATGTAATTAAAGGAAACAAAAACAATACAAAGATATGAGAACCTATTTTGTCAAATCATATCAGTTGAAATATTTATTTAATGACAGAGCAATTGTTTTGTAGCTAATTTACACACTTTAATGCATTCGTTATATACAATATTAATAAAATTAATTATTAAGACATTGGTATGTTGTATGTAATGAGTTAAGTGTTGACCCAAACAAACACTTCTATTCTCAAGAATTAACGATAAAATAATGTTAGAAAAAATCTATACGTTTGTAATATTTGTGATAACAGTAAGAAACAACAAATATTTTCTAATGATACTTTGTATTCATGTCTACTTTTAGACTGAAAGCCTTTTTTATCTCCCGTTGTTTTATAAGTATTTGAATTATAGCAATTTTATGACTCAACTATGTACTTTACCCGCAAATTGTCAGTAAATATACTGTATTATATCTGTTTCTCAGTATATTTGACTCAAAATTAAGGAATTTATTAAAATATTTTTTCATATTTATTTATGAAATAATTTCTGGAAATTAATTTACCTAGTTCAAGATAAATTAATAACTAATTATTTTCTGGTAATCTAAGCAAAATATTATAATAACAGAATAATATTGTATTTCAAAATATTGAGCCCAATTTATTATTGCATTTATACATAATTGATACGTATGAATAAAGTAATGATTTGAATATACTGTAGTATATTTTATTTAGAAAAATAAAACTTTATTTATTAATATAATGGTCTACAGGACTTAGGGTCTACAAATTTGACTAAAAAATGTGACTGTGTTTTGATTAACTGAAATGATGGCATAATAAGTTCAATAATATGAGATGATATATAGAGGAATAATAAGCGACAAATTGTTATAAGTTTGGAGATATACCTAACTTATGAACAAAGTATGAGATATGGTTTGTTATATTGCATTGTATTGTTATATATTAGGAAGTCTGCCGTAGAGTAGAGTAGATTTGGTGACAAAAGCGTGAGTGCAGTGCTGTTAGTACTGTACGTAAGCTTAAAGTTGTCTAAAAAGCATTGCGAAGATAACAAGAAATGACATTTTGGTCGCACATTATTTCCTCACTAATGCCTGACATCTCAATCGACAAAATGCTTAGATTTTGGCTTCAATTTAAGTCAAACATTGTGTTGGACTCTATTAATATAGAATTTATTTATAGATTACAAAATGATGTGATTCACTATATTTGTTTGCCCCACAACTCTATATTTGATTGTATCGCCAAATAATTAGGACCTCAAATGTATAACAATTTCATTTGCAATCCATAAAATTGATGTCATATTACAGAAAAATCAATTTCTTTCTAATATAACTGATTTGTCGATAAAATATTTTCTTAAAAACAAATGTCAATCAAAAAAGTAATATGAGTTTTTTAAATATTACGAAAACAAGATTTATGTCTAATTTCAAAGTTATACATAATTTACAAATGTTTACTCTATTTAAAAATTTCGGTCATTCGATGAATTACTTATAATTTAATTTCATTTTAAATCAATTTTGATTTATACAACATTAATATTTTAGTATTAATACTTTCTGTATATTAAATACTGTGCACATTTAAAATATTATTTTAAAATTTGGTTGCCTAATCATGGTTATTTAAACAATAATATGTTTAAATATGACAAAAATAATGAAAAATATAATCTTCATAAATAATATGCTATTTCAATTAATTTTTAAAGATATAGGTAATAGTAAAATGATTACGATTTTAGATTTACAATTTTTATTACCAACATAATAAACATTTTTATAATTTGTATTGCTAATTTTCTTGACCGTTAATTTTTCCTAGAAAATTCATGTCACTAATGATTTTTGGTTGCATTCTGTTTAATAGATTTGGTTTCAGAAATTATTTTTATAATATTAACGCAATTACTCATATAATTCATGAGAGATAGCTTTATATATATTTATATATAAATTGGGAAATGAACTATCATTGATCGATATTTAAGATTTTCTACAAATGTCACATCTCTTACATAACATTTAATAAGTAATAAATAAATGGAAAAAAACTAAAGTTATATAATTTTTATTGGTTGAGATTACCAGATCCATGAAGTAGTTGCCGAGATTAATGAATTTGAAATTATCAAATTCTAACAAATAAACATTTTTAAAAATCATTAAGGCAAAATTTCGAGAAATCCAGAAATTAGTTTTTTAATTTTGACCTTGCGCATCATCTCCAAAAATCAGAACTTTGATATCTCTTATAGTTTTTGTGAGAATCCATAATTTCAAAAATTATCATTCATTACTATTCCCTTTGTATCAGGGTAAAATGGTGCACATGAACATATTGGTAGGAAAAAGCATGTTTCTCAAAAAATGTTAATTGATCTAGCTCAACACTAACTAACCTAAATTTTAAGGAATCAAATAAAACAGAGAAAATGTTTAAATTAATAAAATAATTTTTTAAATAATTTATTGTTAATTTGTAATTACTTTATTATAGATAATGTAAATAGCTTTAAAATTATAATATATTATAAACTAATTGGTAATAGTCATTTATAGTCATATGTACCAGTACACCTATTATAAGTTATTAATACAAAAACGTTGTTCAAATATGTGATTGTGATACCAATTTAATAATTAATTTAATAATCAAATAAATTCAATTTTTAAAAATAATGTCAGCTACATTGTTTACAATCTATGCAAACCTCATATTTAAATATCAAAAAATAATCTTATTTTACATTTTTTATTTTTTATTCCCACTTAGTCATAGAAAATAATAAATACAATTTAATTATATATTACTAACAAAATACTGTATAATTAGATGAATATAAATAATAATAAATACAATAGTAAGTTTACTAAATGAACTACCGGTATTCATATTTCGTTAAGATGTGATTGTCTCATATTATTGTATAAATTGTATTTAATTATAAAAATCTACAACTTTATTAATACTAAATATCAAAAATATACATTTAATTGAAATTGATAAAACTAATATTTTATATGTAAATTTCCAATTAAAAATATTTAAAGATAATTAAGTAAGTTAATAATTATTATAAAAATATTACTATATTAAAATATGATATCAAAAATGAACACAATAATTATAAAATAGATGACAAAAATGATAATGATTTCACTTTAAGTGTAAAACGAGTGAAGAAACGATTGATTAATGAAAAACAGAGTAATTGTTTGAAGGCTTGTATTCCTAGTTTGAATGATAGGAGAGTGTAATCGACGGATCATTAAATCATTTGATTTGATGACAATTATGAATGAATTACTATAATATAAGTTAAATTGTAATCCAATGCTTACAAGTGTTCATATGTGATGATCATATGGTGAGCGCATGTGCCCCGGATTCAGGTGCTTAGACTGAGCTCATAGTTAAGAATAAGGTAATAGTGGAACAACAGGCAACGATTTCATCTGAACTGCCGTTTTGTACAACTCGCATGAGAACCAAAGTCTGTGTATTAGTGTTCAATAAGTTGTCAAACAATTTTTGGCAATCACTTCAATACATGTCTATTGTTTAGTTGTTGACGTCTTTCGATGCATACAATTAACTATTTCTGATGTGAATTATTTAAAGCTATAAACCATCTATTGATAGAGCATTGGATGAAACAAAATTTGTAGCTCTAATACAACTCACAATACGGTATCGTATGAGAGACACACATAACCTAACGCATGAACCTATTGATTGATCCTCTCTCTGCTCTCAACTCTCTGTACTCTCTATACTCTCTGTACTCTCTATACTCTCTCTACTCTCTGTACTCTCGTTACTCTCTCTACTTTCTGTACTCTTTCTGTACTCTCTCTACTGTGTGTGTGCTCTACAAAATCCAATACAATACGATTTACTGCACGACTCATACATAGCCTAACACTTTGGCAAACGTTTGCCTCTTATATGATATACTGAACGTTCAATACTTCACTACATCTCCATTGCTTCTCCACTGCATCCAAACTGCATCAGGTGTTCAGCACCCATACCATCCATGCTATCCATACCATTCATGTCATCCATGCCATCCACACCATTCACATCTGCATCCAATGATTTGCAACTGATTTCCAATTATCTCTATATAATTGCTTTTCATTACTTGTGACAATTTATTAATAATTACATTCAAATGATTTTATTTTTAATCAATTTTAAGAAGAGCTAAATCTCTCGACAGAGAAGTCAACACTTCTTTATTTTAACTGTAATTTCAATTTTTGTTTTATTTGCCAAAAGTGAATGTTTGTATGATTTTGATTACTTTCTAAAAATAAATTATTCTTCATATCATACATCAGTTGTGTGTACCGTATTTTAATAAATCTAATGACAAATTAATAATCATTTGCAGCATTATATTCAGGTATTGCTGACCCATAGAGACATAGCTATAAAACCTCTTATTCTAAGTGTTATGCAAGCATTTTATCAATTTATCACTATTTAAAGACCAAAACAATTGGACTTGTAATCAACTAAATTATATATGAGTTGTAGTTTTGATTATTATGCTTGCGATTTCTAAAATGAAATGATAGTGTTGTCATTAAATCCCAATCACAGAGTTTGAGTTGAAATGTGATTTAGCCGTTTATTTGGTTATTCAAAGTTATGATCACTATTTGATGCATTCTTTCATATTTTGTGTGTTGTATTGTATTTGTGATTAATTTGTTAGGATTAGGATTGCACTCAAGGGAATGGGAATGGGAGGGAGGGCTTGACTAAAGAGATGTGGGACTCAGTGCGTGATATTTACTGTATTTAAGCGATGGATGGGATGAGAGTTGTTTTGAGACAAATTTGTGCTCTTTTTAACCCCGACTACGACAGTAAAAATCGCGGGTATATAGAATCACACCATTTTGTAGTTATAAAATATTATTACATAAATAAATAGGTACAGGAATATCTACAAAGAGTTTCAATCAGATTTGTTAGGATGCCCAGGGAGATTATTTTGTGTATTTTTATCACTTTTGCCATTAGATAACAAGTATAAATGATATTAGAATCATGATTTCTTATGATATTGTTAAGAAATATTTAAAATAATTTCAATTGTAATTGTATATTAATATTGTAAACTAGAATCGTGGTCAGGCATCGATTTGCCTGTCAATCCTTGTTTAACTACCGGTACTTATAGTGTATTCTATATTCATATAGAGTTGCAGTGAATGTAATGATATAAAGAGTTTTGAAAATTAGTTAAATCAATGTGAATGTGACACAAATGACACTAAACTAATGAGTGATCATATTTTGCAAACTTTATATAAGTGGGAAACTCGTGACAAAACAAACAACAATTAAACTATAATTATTGACAAAAAAATGTTTTCACTTTCCAGTTATACTGATAAAGTCGACGTCAATCCAAGAGCAGTCATCCTCGGGAGCGGCGTCTCAACAGAAGGTCGAGTACGACAGTCGTGTGAACCAGAGTTCGGGCGCTTATAAGACATACTCGGTGTCAGACGTCTCGCACGGCAGCAAAGAGTCGACATCGAGTTCGAGCTCTTCTCGAGGACTCAGTCGTCAGGCGTTTAATAGTGAGAATCAGTCAGTTTTGGCGCAGACATCAAATAGGAGTGATTGGAGTGATAGGAGTGCGCACAAAGACAAACAGCCAGTGCAGCCATCAGTGTCTACTGTGTCATCAGTACAGCAACACATCAGTCATCCAACACAAGAGTCACCACAAGTGTTACAAAACAAGCACAAGACTAGGCCTGAGACAGCGCAACAGTGGTCGGGCGCCCACACCCCCAACCAGACCAACCATACCTCTAATGCAGGGCCTGTCCATCAAAACAGCACACATTCAAGCGCTGGAAGTGTTCGCAACGACAGCAGTCTTAAGACTCAAGTAACCAACTCTAAGGATAAGATAAGCCGCGAATCCAGTGGTACGAGTGGTACGAGTGCTGTCGCCTCCAAGAGTACGTCCAAAATGCCTAAAGTTAAGGACAGCAAAGGCGGCGATACTTTTGACTGTAAGTCTAGTTTAATGTTGTGTTTATGAGTCTCGAAATATATTTGACATGTATTGCCAATGATTTACATTGATATTCCTTATTATAATAGACTTTTTGCTCGCATTTCTCGTTTCTAACTATAAATCTATTTTTAGTAACACAGCTCTCAAACAGGAGAGTCGAGAGTTTGCTCCCAATGCCTGCTATGATGAGCACTGCCGAGCATTAGGCTATATATACACACACTTTACTCACATAACAGTTAGAGTCAAGATTTAGACCCAGAATAGAGACACACTCTCTCTATACACTCACAACAAGAGCAATGCTGACAGTCGGCACAACTCTAAACATAATCCAATCGTTTATATATTTTTTAAATTTAGTTCCATTTTGTTAACACATACTCTCTATTATTGTTCTCTTATGCCAAATATTAAAGTCATGTTTAGGACTCAAGTGTATAGCAGACACAATAGTCGAGTAATTGTAGTCAAACCCCTCTATCCATCCATACATAATCTCAACACTCAAACAAATGCTGACTTTCCCTTAAAACCGACTCTTATTTCACTTAAAAAGATATTTTTGGAAATATATGTGAAAACTAGTAAATAATCCAAATGATAAAATGTTTTATTTAGCACTTCATTATTTCCGTATACTCTCTCCAAAAAATGTAACATTAAAAATTTAATTAATGACTATTTAATTTACTTAATTTGTCAGACCTAAATAATTATATTTAAGTTAACTTATTTTTTTATTCATATAACATTTATAAATATGATTAATTTCCAATTGAAATATATCGCAATATACAATATTGATATATTCCATGATAAAATAATATATTTTATTACAATTTATACAATATAATTTTAATATATAATATTAATTTTAACCTGAACATTCTCAAATTAATAGAATAAATAACAAATTAATTTAGTTGAATCACCATAAGTTAAGGAAAATAACTAAAAAATTATTTGTTGTATTTAAAAGTAATATAAATTTTGATATTACTTTATTCTGTGCTTTATATTGAGGTACATTTTAAAATTATTATTTCTGGGTTTTTAGAAATATACAATATGCCATATAAATTCACCATGATAATTGCGCAATTTAACTTTGCAAAAATGTTCTCATTTTTATTTAATTAGAGTCAAAAATAATTTACAATATACCGTAAATAATATTTTTCCAATTTATTTTCTATGAGAGATGAAAATGGGGACCTTTTTTTGCAATGCTAAGTTACGCAGTTATCATGGCAAATTTATATTTCATATAGTATATTTTTTAAAACCGATACGTTCGGGTTATGAATCCCTCAAAAGAGATTAACGATTGGATAACCCGTTCAAAATATTATCCATTTTGCACATGGTCAATTGTCATTTCGGGTGTGTTTGCAATTAGTAAACAGTTATTTGATAGTTATTTAATAATTAATTAATTAAATAGTAATTTGCAGAATAAATCACGAGGTTATTAACCGTATTTTATTTATATGCTAGCTCACATTAATGTTTGATTTAAAATTAAATAAATTATTTTCTATAAAAATAAATTATTTTCTATAAATGTGTGCCCAGTAATCAAATGGTATCCTTCAACTTTGCTTTTATATGGAGGTATTCGTACCAAACATTTGTGTACAATCTTACGATAGCATAGTTGAGGAAACCAA